TAGTTTAAGGAATAATAAAGCAAATTCATTGCAATACTTTTCAAAGGAAAAGGACAAGAAGGAACAGGTTTAACATAGCTAAGATCAAGCTTCGGACAGACACTAAGATGTATGCCTTTACATAGAAGATAATGAACAGATGGAATGGGTTACCAGGAAAAATGGTTGAGGTCAAGCCAGTGGATTAATTTAACATTCAGCTTGATGCTGCAATAGGGAAACAGGAGGGTTAATATTCTGGAAAGATGAAATCAAATGGCTAAACGACTTTCATCTGAACTGCTTAAGATTTGGTGAACACTTTGCAATACTGCTGAACCCATGTAAACTCTTTAAAATTATTTATAACCCAAGAGTTTAATGCAATTCATCTGGGTTGCTTGTATAAAAATAATGTATTGTGCTCCCCGTGAAACAATAAAGGCAGATCATTTTTATAAATAGTGTTATAATGAATAGAACCTTACTGAGTACACTAATTTTATCCTGTCCAATATTAACTAAATTTACAGGCAACTCAAACTTGATCACGTGATGCTAATCTAGGTCTATACCCAAATTACCCCAAGCCTTTCTGATGACAAACACCATTTTTGGTTTTACTTTCCAAAGTAGCTAGATATTTTACAATTTGAAACATTCACTTGAGCCAAACAAAAAGTACCTGACATGTTATTCAACAGAAATAAGGTACACCTGTTAACACGATAACAATTCTTCGCAAAAAAATGAAAAACAATTTCATTTGAGGTTTCCTGTTTTTAATAAAAATGTTTGCGGTTTGTCTGTTCAAGGAAAGTTTAACCACAGAATTGTCAAAATAAGTAGTTGATTAGCGTAATGTTATTTATTGTGAAATGTTACCTTTGGAATATTGGGTTGTCAAAGTAAATTAACATTGAAGTGTAAAACAATGTCATGTTTATCGCTCACAATCGCAACAGAATTTAACTCCTTGATATCTAAAAAATTACAACATACTAAAAAATTAGGCAACAATCTGTAACAAAGAATTTATAGTATATTCTATGGTGTTTCATCATGTTTTCTTCAAATGTAAAGAAAAATCTTTGTTTTGGTTAAATAATCTGAATATTGTACAGCAATATTAACATGACTTGGGCAAAAAAAAATCGCAAGATCGCACTTCCCAATGGTAATCATGGAAACATGGTTAAATATTACAGGCTCATTTGGCTGGTGGAACAAATATTTGATGCAAAGACAAACACCTTAAGGAAAATACTCAGAAAATAAATAGCACGTACATGTTGGATAGAGAATAAAAGGAACAGATTGTTTCAAGCCTTTAACTTCCAAGGAGGTTCACACAACAACAACTTGTATTTATATAGCACCGTTCACATGGGGCAGCATCAGAATCTCAGGATCTCATAAAACAAACTCCTGTGCAAACCCCTCATTGTCCAGCGTCTTGGGACGTGAAAGGCGCTATATAAATGCAATTTGTTGTTGTTGTTTATCCTGATTACAAACACTTTAGAATATGTTGTGTCTTATGTGCGCTTTCTTTTAGTGGAAGGGATTATATATTTTATATTTTAAATGTTGCACTTTAAAATAACAAAAACTGTAAAAGTAAAATTCTATAAAATCCTACAATTTGCAAATATATCTTTCAAGTTTTCCAATCTATCCAGGTTTAATACACTATTGAGGTGTGGAGACACTGACAGGAGCCAATCAGGAGGGCCTCGTTCTTGCTGACATTCAACTGAAGGAAGTTTGCTCTCATCCAGGACTTGATGTCTGACAGGGAGTCTGTCAGGACAGCAGTGGTCCTGGAGTCGAAAGTGGAGTCAGAGAGAGAATTGGGTGTCATCCGCATACATGTGGACGTTGACCCGATGTTTGCGGATGATGTCATCAAGAGGGTTCATGTACATGTTGAAGAGGAGAGGACCAAGGACAGAGCACTGAGGAACACCGCATGAGACGGTGCGGGGGCTTGAAGAGAAGCCATTTGTGGAGATGGAATCGAGATGGTGTAAGAGATATGATAACAAGTCAAGGACAGAACCATGAAGGTTGAGGTGAGAGGAGACGCGGTAAAGGAGGATAGAATGGTCAATGCTATCAAAGCCAGCAAAGAGATCAAGGAGGACAAGGAGGACAAAAGCCCTGGTCACAGATGGACAAAATATCATTTGTCACTTTGATCAAAGTGGTTTCTGTGCTGTGGGCGGCACGGAAACCGGATTGGGGAGGTTCGAGTAGGGAGTGGCGGGAGAGGAAGGAGCAGAGCTGGGAAGCAATGACTCATTCCAGGTCCTTGGAAAGGAAAGGGAGGTTGGAGATGGGGTAGTAGTTGGAGAGCAGGGATGAGTCTAGGGAAGGGTTTTTGAGGCTAGGAGTGATGACGGCTGTTTTTAAGGGGGTGGGAACAGTGCCAATGGACAGGAAGAGGTTGATGATGTCATACTTCATTTAATTCTTTATTTTATAGTACTCGGTTAACTGTTGAGGAATTTTCCTATATTACAATGCTTGTATATACTGCACTCTTCATTCACCCTTATCCTGTGTACAATGCACTCTGCAAAAGCCCATGAATAAATATAAAACCATGATTGGTAAAAAATGGTAATTAAATTACTGAAGTGAAATCCAGTCATTAACCATGTTTGTGGTAAAATTGAACTTAAGTGTCTGATCAGATATAGTCTGAATTTGGTACAAGATATGCATGGTTGAGGCTGGGACACAGCTTGAGGCTGCAATAGGAGGATGGATGGATGGGTATTCTGGAAAAATGAGATCAGCTGGGCTGAAGAGCTTACTTTATCTTAATCAATCTTGTGATCAAATCCTGATACGAGTTCAAATCTTCTGATCCAAAAGTAAGATTTCTATCAAATGATCCAGACTAACAATTGAATTGGTTGAGATAATCTAACCTTGAGATGTAATCTTCCAAATACATCTAATTCTCCCTATCTTTCTCGAGGACATTTGCTGATATTGGTGTGAAACATGTGACCCAAGACATGTTACTCATATTTAACACAATGTTTAAAATTTCCACAGTTGATAAATAAACACAGCACACAAAATATTGCAGATGCTGGAAACCTGAAACAAAAACAGAAGTCACTGGGAACACTCAGCACGTCAGGCAGCATCTATGCAGAAAGGAAAGTGAGTCAACGTTTCGGGTCCACGAACAAAGTTCTGATGAAGGGTCGTGGACCTAAAACATTGACTCACCTTTTTTCTCCATAGATGTTGCCTGACCTGCTGTGTGTTCCCAGCGACTTGTTGATAAATAAACACATCCACCCCTTGAATTCTCTGACTCCATTAAAATGTTGGGCCTATTGCCAGCTTGTGGTCCCCAGCACTGGAATACTAGTTAACACAATACTGGCTTTATTCAGATTTTTTTTTAAACTGAGTTAAGTAAGCATCCTTCAAAGTGTCATGAGCCATCAATAGCAATTTATGAGTCTCCTTCGGATGCAACCAATCCAATTGAGTCATGTTGTCCCACCTGTGGCACCAACTGATTTGATGTCTTTTGCTATTGATAAGGTAGAATTTTCATCAATATGTTAAATAACACATCACAAGTAGCAATTCACTGATTTCTACAAGTAAGGTAGGGCAGGACTAACAATAACAAACACCCCGGAACAGGAGATACAGAGATTAGTTGCTAAAAGCACTTCTGCTTTTAAATCAGTACAAAGCTTTTAGAGAGAAAATCAATTAATGCAAACAAGTTATTATTTCCACAGTAAAACAGCCAGGGCATAAATCAGATTATTTAAAATTTACTGTTGGTATTTTCTTCAATAAATGGCATTAATATTCCTACTTATTATTTAAAGCTGTAAAGTCTATCAATGCACTCATGATTTTGTATACGCAATGCTTCACACACTACAGTATTTTTATGCGCAGAAGAATTTAAAAAATTTGATGTGAATACAATTATATTGTATTGCGTACTTCAACTTAATCATGTTTGGGCATGACTTGAAAACACATGACACACCTTTCCAAATATTATGGAATAAACTCAATTTAATTTCTGTTTCACTAAATTGATGCGGTGTGCAAGGTTTGCTTACTCATTTTCTATCACAAATGTTGCTGAGCAGTTTATTAATGCACTGCGCTAAATAAGAAAACCTGGTTATATGCAGTCAGCTGGGTTAAATCACTAAACAATATTGTTTTAAGTGAGCCTTAATAAATAATAATGTCACGTTTGGTATAGCCCCTTTCATGTTGGGAGGGCATTCCAAAATGCTTCAGTATGAAGTGTAGTAACTGTATTTTGTGGGCGAATGTGGCAGCAATGCTGCAGATAATGGTGTCCCACAAACATTTATGAGGTGAATGACCAATTTTACTGCGGGGTTGTTAGCCAGGACGCTGAAAGAAACCCTTTTCTTTTTGAATAATACCATGGGATCATCATCACCCACTTGAAAAAGCAGACAGGCCTCAGTTTAATGTCTCATCCGAAGGACAGAACCTCCAACCATTCAGCGTCATCTTAGATTACATGAGTTTCAAATCCCGAGGTGGGGCTTGAATCCTTGAAAAAATAGCCAACCTCTGGGTTACTACTAATATTTCCTGTGCACCATGTGCACCATATTTTGCACAGGAAACTATGCTTTGTGAAACAACGTCGCCCGTGCTTTCTGCACAGAGCAAGCATGCGGGAAGTCATGTTAGCAACACGTCTTAGGCATAACACTACAAAAAGCTATCTAAAGTCCCAGAATCAGACTTTTTTTGGTCCAGGAAGCCAGCTAATCAGTGTGTGAAGCCAACTAATCAGCAGCTGTGTTTATTGCACTTCTGTTTAACTCAGTTCTACTGCTATAAGCAAGGCAAGATTGTCTTGAAAGGCACTGTATTTACAAAAAAACAATTGGGAGCTTTTTAAATAGTTTGAACTACTAAAACCGTCCTATGGCTTTTTATGTAAAAGGAGTAGGTGATAAAATTGTAAAATCACTTACATTCCGTAAATCTGAGGAGCTATTTCTAGTCGGTTAAGATGCATGTATAGTTCTGCATCATGCTTCTTTAGTAGCAGGTCTTGGATACGATTTACTTTGGAAACTATAGCAAGAGATGGTCCTGAATCCTGAGGTCTTGCAAATGGCACAGCCGTAATCATGCCCTCTTTCCCCTATAAAAGAAAATGTAAATCAATCTGACAATGCAGTCTGCCATTTTTCTAAATTTATAAATTACACAACACGTCATGTAATGTCAATGTGATTCTATCAAATATTTCAGTCTTTCAATCTCTATGGATTGATTTTTTTTACTAATATCATAGATGATATCAACGCTTTCATAATTTCAATGAGTAGTCAAAAATTGTACCAAAATTCTGTTAATAACGTGGCCTCCGAGAGATTAGATCCAACAGGCAATTGCCCTGTATCGCAATTATTCCTTTGCTCACTATCCTAATATAAAAAGCACAAATTCATTTTAATATCAGATACAATTTATCTTTAGAAATGACTATGTATCCCTTAGCAATACTCTTTTCTGGGTGTTTGCCTTTCTCTCCTTAAACTATATGGCAGTCTCCATTAAAAAATGTTTTAATATGTACATGATTAAAATATGAAGGTTTCAATTTTGCATCAGCTCGTGTGAATTCAAAGAAAAACTGACGTAGAAATTGCTGATAAGTTGAAAGATTTGTTTCAAGGGCGGTCAGTATTAATTTTGAAGACAACTTATCCTTTTGCTCTTTGAATTGAAAACTGAATGTTCTTGTTTTTCAATACTTCTGTCTAAATGTAATCTCTGTGTCAGCCGCTCTAATCGTAAGACCTATTTCTCAAGGTTGCAACATTAATAAGCAAAATCAATGCAATATGCTCTCTTGTAGCAAGGCACTTAAGGTGTCCAATGACCTCACAAAATATGTGGCTGTACATAAACCCCTGAAAAATGCATTTAAACATACTCTCTAAATATGTCTTTCTAACATGATGGCATACTTGGCCCGCTTCCTGCAAACACATTTTATCTGAGGACGTGAGACATTGTTTGGGCCCAGAAATACAACACAAATTATGTGCACTTCCGTTTTAAGAATACTTCCATCAGAAATGAAACTGGATTATGGTTTATTCTAATTAACACATTTAATAGGATTTAATTCCAAAACAGTTAATGTTTGATGTGCATCTATATATATATATGTTTTGAAAAAATTAATGCAGCCATTGAGATTCCTGGATAGAAAAATATGAACTAATGGTGTGCAGAAAAGGTAGCACATAGACAGCTCACACAAAGTCAAAGTAAACAGTGATTTGCTTTTGAGGAACAATTGCCATGTGAAGAAAAAATAATTGATTTTAAACATTTTTGTTATATGATGCATAAATTGGGAAAGGCCAAACTCTAATCCAGAGTCATCTCCTTTCAGAGTGCTGCAGGTAGCTATTATGCACTTTTAGTTGCCAGACTCAGAATTTCTCATCGCTGAATCTTATTAAAGAATCTGGTTAGGAATCGCGACATACTAGAACCCATTGTTAGTTATTGATAGATCTTCCAAATTTGAGGTACAACGACAACAACAAAATTAAATTTGTAAAGCTCCTTACAAGCTAAGTACTGAACTCTATTTGCCAAGTCTATATTGTAAAGCGTATTAAGATGTTACCCCGCTTGAAGGGCGCTATATGCCCTCAAGTTGTCGTTGTTATTAAAGCCACAACCATTACAACAATTCTTTAAAATAGCAACTGTTGTTACAATAGTGATAAAGAGGCAGACATAAAGAATGGAAATCATTGGAACTTAAAGCTAATTTCATTACTGACTACAATATTATACATTTAAAACAGTTTTGAAAAGGTCACACTATTTTGATTATACATACCCTTCTTATTTCTCTTTCAAAGCTTGAAAACCAGGGTTCTGCGGTGTCCATAAGTTGGGAGAACATAGCACTGATGAGAAAACGGCAAGTTAAAAGAGAATATATTTTATCAGGTTATGAAGAAAATCATCTCAATAATAAACAAGGATCTGATGTTCTTTTTACTTACTAGGCATCATGCTCCAAGAATTCAGGGTTGAGGAGAACTTTCATTTCATCACTGAGGAAACATCAATTCATAATAAATGCTAAAATATTTTCCTACAGCAAGGCTACATCCAGCCTTGCATATGATGCACCTGTACTAGTGCTGAAATCTACATCTTCACATAGCTAATACAATATAATTTAGAGAAAGGTCTTTAGATGGGTTTTCGAAGCAGAGAGAGAGTACAAGATGGAAGAAATTTGAAAAAAAAATGTTCTAGCAGGTAGCTAAAAGCTAGATTGCCAATGATAAGTAAGGCAGAGTAGTTGAGGACCAGATTTGGCAAAGTGGAGGAAGTGGCCAGATTGTAAAATATCCCCCATCCTTGCCCGACTCCACTGGCTCCCCATCTCCCAGAGGATCAAGTTCAAGATCATTGTCCTCACCTTTAAAGCCCTCCACTTCGGTTATCTTCCCTTCTCTATCCCCTTGTCCTGCACCCCTCTATGATCTCAATCTGCAGCTCGGATGAAAACCCTTGGAATATCCTCCCAACGTGAAAGGTGCTACATATAAATGCATCTTGTGGTTGTTGTTGTCTGAGCTGGCTTATATTCTACAGTAATTTATTTATGCAACCTATTTCAGGCTATTATGATATAAATATAAACTTACAACAAAATGATACTTGTATAGATGAGATTAACAACTTACCTGGGATTTGCTGATTCATTGGCGTGTGAGAAGGCTTGGTGGTCACAGTGTAGAATAAAGACAAGAGGAGCCAGCAACTCATGCATACCCTAAAACATGGACATTACATGCAAGTCAGTAGCACATAATTATTCCAACCAGCCGAATTTAACACTAAAGCATGTAGAAGATGTGGGAAATATATCTTCCAGATTGGCTTGTAGATTTTCTCCCTTTAATCGACTACAATATGCTAGAAATTGGCCACAAAATTTGTCATGCAAAGTTTGGCATTTACTATAAATACTCATCAATGAAATTATTTTAACAGCAACTTGCATTCATACAATGCCTATCATATAAAAGGATATTTCAAAGTGCCCACTGCAAGAAGTTGGGAAACATTATATAGGCTGGCTAGTTTTATATAGGAAGATCAAAACCAAGACGAGATTCTTAAACTTGACCTTCTGAGGTACTGGGAGCTTGGCAAGTATGGAGTAATAGGTGGCTCAGAGTCCAGCACAAGAGCGAGCTCAGAGTTCTGACTATATTTAATATCAAAGCTAATTACATTTCTTACAGATCTTCAATCTACTGATCAACACTTTCAAAAAATGTTTGTCTGATTTTATAACAATTTAAAGATGCGAACAGGAGGAGGACATTCAACCAACCAAGCCTTTTCTGCCAATTTGTTAGATCATGCATCTATCTACCTTTTAAACATCCTAATTAAGTATGCCTCTACAACTTTCTGGGACAGTACATTTGTATACTTTCATAACCTTCTATGTGAAGAAATGTTTTGCTGTAATTTTAAGATTATGTAGAGAAAACAATGGACACAAAATAAAAGGTAAAATGATCAAAACATGTTGAGCAAATTAACTTTAGTCCATATAGTCTCTTTCTATAAATATCTTGGGAGAATACAGCATTAAACATATGCAATGGGTACCTTGCAATAGACTTAAATTCTTTAGGGACAGAATGTTATGCCCAGAATGAATGCATATTTATTCTTAGCAAATGTCACAAGACTCTTTTCTTACAGACCAATTTTAAACTGCTCAATTATTCAACCAAACCTGTACAGTATTTCATTACCTGCTTGTAAAGCAGCTGCTCATTTTCTCTAGCATAACAAAACAGGATATCTGTCAAAATCTGTCTCACGCTTTCCTGTTGGAAATACTGCATTTCAGGAAACCTAAAAGACACCAAATCTGTTATTAATAAAACGGTAGTCACAAGCCTTTGAAATAAAACTTTACCTTTCTATTGCTCTCCTGCACATGTAGCTCAGTGGTTAGAGCACTCGCCTTGCAAGCGAGACACCTGGGTTTAATTCCAGGCAGGACACAACCTTGGGCAAGTTTCCTTACTCCACACACCTAATAATAATCCCTCTAAAACAAAACAATAATAAACTGGTCATTTTCAATCCACGACTGTCTGTGGGACATTGCTGTGCGCAATTGGCTGCCACGTTTCGCCCACAATTATACAGTCAATTCACTTTACAGTCTATTCTGTGAAGCACTTTGAGACGTCGAGAAGACGTGAAGAGCGCTATATCAAATGCAAGGATTATTATTATGCAAAATTCCAATGCGCTTATCAGTTTAGTTTCAATCAACATTGCAACTTTCTTGCAATTCTATTTGTTATGAAAGCAGATCATTTAAATTAAATTACCACACATATGCATAAAAACTAGTTTTCATGCAAAAATGCTTGCATTTTCTGGGTACATTTTGAATATTTCCTACAGACTACTTAAATTAATTCAGGCACATAATTCACGCTGTGCCAAATTGTCTTTGTAGCTTCTTCCAGGGATTTCCCTTTCTCTACACTTCTGAGGTGGTGATATTTGCATCTGATATAATACTTGTATTTTGTACCGTGATTATGACATCAAAACATTATAAAGCATTTCACACAAGGAGTCGCTGTGAAGTGTAGTGACAATGTTAAAGGTAAATGTGACAGTTGATCCGTGCCAGCAATGTTCCACAGACACCAAAGAGACGAATGCATCAGCAGTTTGAGATGAGTTTAGATGAGGCAGGAATAATGGCCAGAAGACTGCTCTTTTTCAAAATACTGGATACAGTTTTACCAGTGCCAGAATTCTCTAATACTTTGTCTATTCTTAATGGACAGAAAGACAATGAACTTTGGCTCAGCTTAGTCTATCACTATGCCGTGAAGAGTAGAACGTCACAAGTTTATTTTATGGTGTTTGATGAATTTACTGATTGAAACTTGGAACTTATATTTGGCCTCAGCACCAGTGAGTTAAAGAGATCACTATCAGGTGACTCTTGCTGGGAACTGTATCTGTGTGGCTGTCAGGTGATAATATGATGGACTCAACCACGAAGTTTCAAGACTCATCGTTCACTGATCTCACACATGAAGAAGGTTGTTTGGGAAGTGCTTTTGAAAAACAATAGAATTTTACAGCAGAAAAAATTAGTACCTTCACTGGAGGGGGAGAAAATTGGCAATATAAATACACTATGGGACCTCATAGCTGAGGCAGATTCTGTGCAACCCCCCCACCCCCAACATACACATCATAACCCGCAGAAATGATTTCCAAATAATTTACATATCACAATAGCATTTTTTTATATCCCATGTTCAGCCATCAATCGATCCAACTCTCTTTTGAATGGCTCAAATGAGACAATATTTCCTACTCGGTGGCAGTCTTTCTTTATGATGTTGACCTTAAACAGGAACAAGCCATCCCTAAATTTAGCTGGTAGCTTCTTTAGTTTATAATTATGTCCTCAATCCAAGTTTTGCACAGTGTGCATACAGATGAGGCTGGTCACAGCAATACAACTGACTTCTGTCAGAACAAAAGAAAAATACAATCTGAAAACAACAAAAGCAAGTGTTGCAAGCATACATCAGTCGTTGATCTCTTTGGTTCAGCTCTATCAGATTACCAGACACATGGGTACTTCTAATTATAAACTGAACAAGTAATGGTTCAGCTTGCAACACAATGGTGAATGATTGTTAATGTGGGATTGGTACATACAAAGGTTCACAGCATCAAGTGCACATATAACCAAGGAGAGATTATATTTTAGTTTGTTAATTAATACGTTTTCAACAAGCTATAACTCGAACAGAACTGTAAAGTAGCACACTGGCAAGTTTAAAATTGTAGGCACAGTTAGCAAATCTTTATAAGTACTTATATATTGCAGCTGTATACGTACACAAAGTATAGTAAATCTCTGATAAATTGCCACTTGTAATAGCTAAGCGCAGTGCTATAACAAGAGGCATACTAAAATGAAACTGTAAAAATAAGCCTTGCATTTGCTATAGTACCATTCATATCTGCAAGATGTCTCAAAGCGATGAACAGTAGTGACTGTATTTTGAAAGTTTAGTATTAAAGTAATTAAAGATTTACAGAAAAATTTGTATGATTATTGGAAGCAAATAAAATATTTTGATTTTAAAACATGTTTAGCATAACCTTTCTTCATTAAAATGTATTTTAACAAACATTTGATTTTTAATTTTTTTATTCTCATCAATTGAAACAACACCTATACTACACCATATTCAAACCATATTGTTTATATTCAGAACTGTATTTAAAAATAAAACTAAGGTAAGAAGATTCATAAAAATAACAATGATCCTACTCTGTTTATATGATACAGAAAAAGCATCAATAGAACATAGCCAAATAGTGGCCTGCAATCATCTCATTAAGTGTTTTTGATGCGTTGAGTAGTTCCACAGGCTTCCTGCTCGGTCATCTCCTCTTTAATATCTACAATCTCATTTGGTGATGCAGGCAAGGAGTGAATTTCCACATAATAATAATAATAATCCTTGCATTTGATATAGCGCTTTTCACGTCGGGAGGACATCCCAAAGCGCTTCACAGAACACACTGTAAAGTGAATTGACTGTATATTTGTGGGCGAACGCGGCAGCCAATTCGCACAGCAATGTCCCACAAACAGTCGTAGATTGAAAATGACCAATTTATTATTGTTTTTGGTTTTGGAGGGATTATTATTAGGTTCTGTGTGGAGTAAGGAAACTTGCCCAAGGTTTCGCCTGCCTGGAATTGAACTCAGGTCTCTCACTTGCAAAGCGAGTGCTCTAACCACTGAGCTACAGGACTCCACATGTATGTGGATGACACCCAACGATCTCTCTGCCTCCACCCTTGACTCGAGGACTACTGCTACCCTGATGGATTAACCTCTTTCTATAGATGTTTTATATGGTGTCTGCTAACTTTGGTGTTTTGAAGTTGAAATTGTGCCAGTGTGCCTACAACACGTCTAAATTGACAGAGCTCTCATTAATAGCTCCACGTCACATTTTTATATATATCGCTATATTTGCGTAGCTTAAAGATAACGTTTTTAAAGTTTTTTATCTACTTTTTTTCCTTTTAAATCTATCTCTTCTTTATGTAGGTTTGCACAGTCTTTTTTGTAACTTTTCTGTGTAGTTTTTTTTTAAAACAGCATTACGTGGTTGATCAATTGGCCGATCGCTTTTCCGGGGACAATAATCCCTTCAAAAAAAATAATTTGGTCACTCAATTCACGACTGTTTGTGGGACACGGTGATGTGCAATTGATGGTCGAGCTTCACCCATAAAATATACAGTGAATTCGCTTTACAGTATATTCTGTGAAGTGCTTTGAGACGTCTCAAAGACGTGATGCAAGGATTATTAATATTATATGTCGAGCAATGCCTAGAGAAATCTCAGGTTAGGTTGTTCTGGTTGTAATTGCCGAATAGAAAAGGTGAAAATCAAGCAGACAGGCTGGGGGTGGCTGGTGTTTAGAATCATTTCAATTGATCATTACAAACTGGGGTGTGGCATTGCTAGTATTAAAAAAAGAAAAATCAAAAATGTCATATTTACAAAATCTGGAAAGAATAAAATGCATATTTGTTTCATTGTCTTTTTTATGGTTGTGGCGCCTGCATCTGATCTAATACTTACATTTCAATCGTGAAATTCTCAAGAGGTAAACTGGTAATAGTGATAAATGGTCACATTTCATATTTGAAGCAGCTTTCAAAGCAGTTTTTTTCTATAAACAAAGCTTTAAAGATCTATTGCAATATCTGCATGATCAGTAATATGATTGTTATTGTTTATCATTTGCTCTCTAAATTACATATAATAAAAAAAATTAAAAAAAATCAGCAGTAACTTAGCAGAGAATAAGAGACATTTGTGCTGGTAGAACTATGTTTGAACGTTTTTAGAGTTATCTTTCTCCTTATTTAAAACCAACAATGTTTAGTTGTTTGCAGTAATGTTTTTTAAAAAAAATCTATTCAGTCTCCCACGTGCAGCTCTTGAAGTACAATGCAGTATATACTCTGGATCAAGTGATTAAGCACAATGTGCTTTTAATTTTGAGCAAAATGAGATGTTTGCAGTTTTCAACTTTAGGATTCTGTATCTCAATTCCTGATGAGCTGAATGAGGAGATTGTTGCAATAACCAGGGTACAAGGTACCAGGCCAAAGATTAAAGAAATGGGATTCAGCAAGTAACAATACAATACTGACAATCACATAACAACATATATATTACACAACTGTCTTAAGTTCTGCCAGTTAAAGAAGGGAGTCTGAAGAAAAGATGAACAATCCCAGTATGTTAAACAAATTGAAGTTACATTCACTCATAGTCATTTTCAATTTTTATCATCGAGTCAAGACCTTACTCAGATATGCACATTTCATTCAACTAAGCAACCGTTATTCAACTAAGAAACAGTACTTTTAATGGCCATGCAGTAACCTTAAACCAGGCATCTAGTGAGAAGGTAAGAAATGGAAAAACATCAGAATTTATCTAGTTCAGGCACGAGTTTGCATTAGCCACAATACCCCACCAGTCAGGATCTGTGCTATATCCATTAGAATAATTTATTTATGGATGGAATGACAAGCACTTTACAAAGCAAGCCATATAAAGCCTAACACACTGCAGTAACGATCCAGCAGTCAATCTTCATAAATTAGACAAATGAACAACATTCAGATTATTTGGGAAATATAAATATAATATTTTTAGCAAAAAAGCATGATGCCGAACAAAGTCTTGTCTGGCAATTCTTGGTATATGGGTGGTAGTTAATTATGTAGATACATCAGCTCACAAAGATGAATAGGTTGTCCATGAATTTGCAGAAAGCTGGCGTACCAAAGACCAATACTGTGTTTGCATTTTATGATTCAATTAAAGGATTTAATTTTGCACATACGTTCTTGTCACATCTTGTTGAATCATTGCCCGAAGTTCTTTATCTTGAAAAAACTTGTTCCACAGACTCTAAAAAAAATAATAAATATTTCATGCAGTATTCATAAATGTATAACTGGTTAACAAAGTTATCAGATGCATTCATTTAAATGCTTTGTTATTTGCCTTATTAGGATGAAATACTGTACCAAATGTTTAATCTCACGCTGCAATTTGGAACTAATACCTACTATATAATTGTAATGTTATAATCTGACATGAGAAATAAATAAGAATTTCCTCTGTAAAATTCTCACTCGAGAATATCCAAAGGACCAAACAATGCAGCCACATTATAACATGCTTTGGTTATAACCAGTGCCAGTAGAAAATTGTGGAAATATTTGCCAAACATTGCGTGGAAATTGATTGGTGCTATTGAAGTACATTTTACTGCCAGCCTACATTTTTTCATTTTATTGATGAAAATTAAACATGAGGAAATAACACACAATAGATTTGTGGAGAGGAGGAACACCAACGCAGGCCTGAAGATCTGCCAAAAAACCAAGACCAGTGTCCTGACTGCGGGGCTAAAGGAGCTCACCACATCATGCCTCAGGGCCCAGCACCGCACACAGACCCAGAGACACACACACACACACAGATACAGGAGAGACATGCAAGCTTAGACACAGAGAGAGACACACATTCTCTGAGAGAGAGACATACTCATAGACACAAAGAGATACACACACACAGACGGAGGAGAGACACAGGCATACATATTCACACAGACTCTCAGAAACACACATATAGAAGAGACGCAGACACTCAAACATATACATACAGGGGGGAGAGAGAGACATAGACACACATGCACAGAGACACTCACAAACAGACACACATACAGAGGAGAGAGAGACACTCACACAGATGCTCACAAACACACACACAGAGACATAGACACACACGCACAGACACACTCACAAACACATACAGAGGAGAGAGACACACTCAGATAGAGACACTCACAAACACTTAGAGAGAGACACACACAGGTGATCTGAAAAGTGGGGACTCCAAGTGGAGTGAAGCCCATTTGCCGCTTGCGCTGTAAGTGGGTTCGGAGCCGTGCCGCCAGAGGAACTTTGGGTAAACAGCGTGAGAGGTCTGGGCACCAGAAACTTCATTTTTTAGCGGTTTTATAGCAGAGGACGCTGTCTATAGTGGATGCTGTAGGAAATTGCAGCCGCACTTTTCTATTGGACCAGGTTATAACTTGGTTGCAATATAGACATTTGCTGTTTCCCTGATTGCTCAGTTCATTGGTGTAATTTGCAAATTTAACTATCTTACATTGGGTCTGCAAATCCAGGTCATTAATGTGTATGGGGAACAGGAGGGGTCCTAAAACTCTTTGCTTATTATCTTTTCTCATTTTGACCTATCTCCCCTCACGTACACCCTCTTTTTTTGTATCCTTCAGCCAATTTTGAATCCATATCTTGACCTTGATACCCATTGAAACTATCGGGTATGAAACTCTCAAACTATAGCCCCATCCCCAGCCTCCCTTTCCTCTTCAAGGTCCTGGAACAAGTTATTGCTTCCCAGCTTTGCTCCTTCCTCTCCCACCACTCCCGTCACGAATCCCTCCAATCAGGTTCCTGTGCCACCCACAGCACAGAAACAGCCCTGGTTAAAGTGACAAATGACATTTTGCCCATCTGCGACCAGGGCTCCCTCTCTCTCCTCGTCCTCCTTGACCCCTCTGCTGCTTTTGACACCGTAGACCACTCTATCCTCATCCACTGCCTCTCCTCTCACCTCAACCTTTACGGTTTTGTCCTTAACTGGTTCAGATCGTACCTCTCACACTGCCTGCACTTCATCTCCACAAACAGCTTCTCCTCTAGCCCTCTCATCATCTCGCATGGCATTCCTCAGGGCTCTGTCCTTGGTCCCCTCCTCTTCAATATCTATATGCTCTCTCTTGGTGACATCATCCGCAGACATGGGGTCAACTTCCATATGTATGCGGGTGACACCCAACTCTATCTCTCTGCCTCCACCCTGGACTCCAGGACCACTGCTGTCCTGATAGAATGTCTCTCAGACATCAAGTCCTGGATGAAAGCTAACATTCTTCAGTTGAATAATAATCCTTGCATTTGATATTGCACTCCTCACTTCTTCTGGACATCTCAAAGCACTTCACAAAACATACTGTGAAGTAAATTGACTGTATATTTGTGGGCAAAACATCAACAAGACTGAGGCCCTCCTGATTGGCTCCCGTTAGTGCCTCCGCAGCTCAGGCACTGATAGGATCACCATCCATGGATGCTCACTCCACCTTACTAAGCCAGTCCGGAACCTTGGCATCCTGTGTGCCCTGACCCATTCTGTCTTCCCCCATCTCCACAACATTGTCCAGTTCTGCCATTTTCTCACTCCACAGGCCGCTGAAACCCTTATATATGTATTCATAACATCGAGGCTTGACTATACAAACTCCTTGCTTGTTGGCCTCCCCAACTCCTCCCTCCATAGGCTGCAGATCATCCAGAATTTTACAGCCCGTGTCCTCTCCCGCACCAGACTCCGTGACCCCATCATCCCCATCCTAGTCCGACACTACTGGCTTCCCATCACACAGAGGATACAGTTCAAGATCCTGGTCCTCACCTTCAAAGCCCTCCATGGCCTTTCTCCCCCTACTCTGCAACCTCCTAACGCCCTATTATCCTGCTCGCTCCCTCCGCTCAGTGGCCTGCTACACGTCCCCTGCCTCACTCACCCCACTATTGGCAGGCGGGTCTTTTGCCACTCTTCCACCACCCTCTGGAACTCCATCCCGCAGTCCCTCCGCCTCATGCCCTCCCTTGCCTCCTTCAAGTCCCATCTCAAGACCATCCTCTTCGACCATGCTTTCAACACCCTCCTTCCACACCTGCCCTCCACCCTCCCCAATCCTGACCCCCAGCACGAGTCCGATTCACTCATCAGATCTACAACCTGGATAAGGACCAGTGGTAGTAATGTAGAATTGTTAAGTACTGTCCTTCTGCAAGTAAATATATCAACTTAAAAAAGTATTTTTATTCTTAAATTCACATATCACCAAAGTACATTTTAAATTTTAGACCTTTAATTGTGTCTTTAGTGAATATTTAATATTCTGCATAAAGTTAAAAAGTGGTCACCAAAGGAAAACCCACACAGAATACCAGGTTGTGAAGCCTTCAGGGGCAGCTTGCACCGTGGAGGAAACTGAGCTGACAGTGCTTAGGAGGTGCAGCCATTAATGTACATAAAAGCATTGTGCACTGATAGTAGGTGGTAACAAAACAGTGAACAGTCTCGCTCTACAAAAATACATGAATTTAAGAATAAATCAGAAATGATTAAACACTCCCAAATCAGAAAAAAGTAACATCCTCCAAATCGACAACAACAACTTGCATTTATATAGTGCCCTTCATGCGGGTAGTGCCATTTACTTGAGCGAATCATTTAATATTGAACAGCAAATGGAAAGAAGCCAACATCACAATCAAGTACTGATGGCTATGTAGTAGACAGTTATCTACGTTGGCAATTGGTGAATGGATTGATCGGTAAAACATCCAAATGATGGGATAAAAATAAAAATGGAGCAAACCTGTGTTTAACACATACATTAACAATTAGAGCAGGATATCTAAGCATTTACAGTGTTCATAAACTGACAGAAATATCCACACGCTTTCTGTGAATTTAATATCCCACATGTGGACCTCCTGTATACATACACACAGAAAGCTGTGTCATTTCTTAGGTATTTCAGTTAGAATATGCAAGCGAGCGTATACTTGAGCAGCTAATGAATGGGAGCTTCACAGAATCAGACAAACTGATTTCAGTGCTTTCAAAATACCACAAAACATGCAAAGCATAGCTCAGTCCAAACCTCTCAAATATAGTGAAGCATTGGATTGTTTTATTGATTGAACGCTGGCCCGTTTAATGATTTTCTCTGAAAAGAGGTGCAATTGCCAGCAATCGTGCAGTTATCTGATAGCAAAGAAATGGTTCTTTAAACTGAATACTCACTCCCTCATCCTGTGAAAGTGGGTTGTTGACAACCAGATCTTGCTGTCCAGCAGCTTTCCGTGGGTTTGTTATATGCTAGGTAGTAGAAAAATGATCGTTAGTCTTAAATTTATGTCTTCTTTTTAAAAAGCTTAAGATTCACAAAGTGATCCAACAATTACTTACAGTTTCTTTTATCTGTTCATAGTGAGCTCTTAGCTCTGCTGTTTTATTGAGCCACTGCTTTTTGTCCTCCGGTAGAGCATCTAAGAACAGCTACAAGAACACAAATCTTATCAGTTAGTACAAAATAAACAGAAAATACATCATACTTTCCAGTGGGATACAAAGTTTACCTATGGGGAGAGCAAAACTTCACTCATGGGTTATGATAAATTTAACTCATCCCACTTTTCATCCCACTGAAACTAGTGAATGGATTGCTTATCCAAACACAAAATATATATGTTTTCCAGAGTTTGATAGACTCTTCTGAATATAATTATGACTACATTACATATTAATGATGTCTGTTGTGAGGCAATAAAGATTCCAAATATTTTCTAGATGTCAAAGGAAAGACACAAACATGTTATTAACTATGTTAAATCCATATGTTATACATATGATTTTCAGATATTCTTTCTTTCTTCTCTGGAGAGGCTGATTCTTGCCAGCGTATGGTTACACGGTGTAGGCTGCCATCCAGTATCTTCCTGTATCCAGTATCAAGGGCAAGACATGGACTAATATTATAATAATACTCCATACCTTTGCTATAGCGCTTTATCACATCTTCGAGATGTCTCAAAGTGCTTCACACAATATACTGTAAAGTTTAGTGACTGTATATTTTGTGGGCGAAACGCGGCAGCCAATTGCGTACAGGAACGTCAATTAGCCCAAGGGAAGGAAGCAGAAGGTCTTTGTTCGGGAAGCCAGATCAAAATTGGTAGAGGCATTAAGCAGGGTGCCTTAAAGGTCTGTACTGAGATCTCTCCCGTTCCTCCTAAATATTAATGTCCTAGACTTGCAGATCCAATGTAAGACAGTTAAATTTGCAGGTGACACCAAGTTGAGGAAAAATGTGGAATCAGAGGAGGCAGCAAGGGTCCTACAAAGAACCCCTTTTTGGTTAGACCACACCTTGAATACTGCATAGTTCTGGTCGCCGCAACATAAGGGGGCACTCCAGGCCCTACAGGCAGAGGAAAGCAATGAGATGATGCTCAGTGTTTGAGAAATGTGTTATGAGCAACAGTTAGACAAGCTACGGCTTTTCAGTCATAGGAGAAGATGAATCAGAGGCGACCTCATAGAGGTTACAAAATTTTAAATGCGATTGAAAAGGTAAACCCAGAACAACACTTTAGGTTACATCAAGACAGTAGAACAAGAGGTCATAAGTTAAAGTTGTAAAAAAACAATTTCAGGGCAAATATCATGAGGCTTTTTGTGACTTGGCGAGTGGTTAATGACTGCAGCAGTTTGCCAGGAAAGACGGTAGAGGCTCATTTAAAAAATAGCTTAATACTGTGATGGGGGGGAATGACAGAGCGGGTGTTCTTGAGGGATGAGAATGGATGGGCCGAAGGATTTTCTTCATCTGAACTAGTCTGTTATCTTGTGAAGCGGATATTCTTCATCCATGGCTATTTGATTACATGGTTATCATAGCACAGTCTAATCCTGTCTTCACCCAGCATCCACACACATGCACTTTCCAGCAGAGGTTGCTGGATGACAGCAAACTTTTATTTATTCAAATTGTTGGTATGAAGATCTGTTCAGACTTTTTACTTAATATTATATGCACATTTCCTAGAAACATAAAACTTGCCGCTTAAGAAGAATGTATCTATAAGGACTACTCAAACACTGGAAATATTCAAAGTAGAGAAAAAATGTTCCTTCCCCAAACTAGGTACAACAAGAGGGAATAGAAATAATTGCTGCTTTTCTATCAGGATGCTGTTATAACAACATAAGTAAAATTTGTATGAATAAGGATCAGCGCAATTCACACAACCGAATTACTGACCTAAAAAGAAAATAATTATTTTCTTTATGTAGTTTACACATAATTGAGAATTGAAATCTTCAATTCTGCCATTTTTGTAGAAATGGTTCAAGTGAATGGGTGGTAAAGATGATAGTCATAGGATCTGAAAGCTCTACAGAACATCTTTTTACACCAGAAAACATGTAAGATGTATTGTAAACAACACATTATAAGTGACTGAAGTCATCTTCAAAAATGGCATCACAGCTTCCCACAGCTCTCGCTAAAGAACTCCATTAAGACAACACATAAATGCAAATACAAAGTGGAGTCCCATAGCGTAGTGGTTAGAGCACTCGCCTCGCACGTAAGAGTTGCCTGGGTTTGATTCCTGGCTGGGTGAAACCTTAGGCAAGTTTCCTTACTCCATACACCTCTGTTTACCAAGCAGTAAATAGGAACCCAGTTGTTAGTCGATTGGAGAATCGCTTTCTGGGTGTAATAATCCCTCAAAAATAAAATTGGCTACTCAATCCACGATTGTTTGTCGAATATTCCTGTGCACAATTGGCTGCCACGTTTTGCCCACAAAATACACAGTCATTCCACTTTACAATATATTATGTGAAAGCGCTTTGAAAGGCACTATATCAAATGTAAGGTTTATTATTATTTCAAAATCTTTCTTTGCACTATTTTCTTAGCAGCTACTAAATTATTAGATTTAAGTAAGCTTAGTCAATAATCAAATATTTATATAAACATTGTAAACTCTCACCATTATATTTACAAATGGATTATATATATATATATATAAAACTAATAAAATGTCAATGTCTGTCTGTCTGTGCTTCAGGAAGGATCTCAATAACCGATTGACGTAGAGGCATGATTTATACCTCATCTGGGAGTGACATTGGTATATTTGCTTTCAGGTATCTCCTATTGTTTGTGAGTTATAACCTAAACTGTATTTCAGTTTTGTGTTTTTCGCTTCAGCTACACCTGGTGGCCGCCGAGTCAAAGTGGTGCTGTGGCATCATGCAGTTACACCTGGTGGCCGCGTCGGCTGACCATGACGCTGTGACATCCTGTATCACAGAGCATGCCTGCAGCCAAGGGGTAGCAGGAACAAAATAAAGAACACAGACGAAGCTAAGCCACGGCAACAACAACAAAATTAAATTTTTAAAGTGCCTTTCACTTTGGGAGGATATCCCAGTTATAAACTATACATTTATATTGTTATTATAAAGATGCCTAAGCGAAAATCAAAGCTGTCAAGGATAAATAAGAATGCTAGTCAAAAGAGAGAACCCACTAAATGAAACTGAAGAACAAAGAACAGTGCAGCTGCATTTCAATGCTGAAAGGACTGCAACAGGAGTCCTCCCAGATGAGTATAGATAAAGATGAAATGTTTCTCTGTGTGTCCATCTACATTCCATATTGGATTGTTTGGTTGCAAGCGTAGCTGCAATGGGTACAGCTAATATATATATATATATAAAATGGTGAAAGTGTTGGTATTTAATTGGTCGGGCTTTCAGCCTCTCAGCCCCGAGGCTCTGGAACTCTATCCCCCAGTGCCTTCGCCTTGCTTCCTCCCTTTCCTCCTTCAAGGCCGGTCTCAAAACCTTTCTCTTTGACCGAGCCTTCAGCTCCCCTCTCGACTCTCTTCCCCCTCCTCGCTCCCTCCCTTCCCTCCCCTCACCCTGACCATTTCCCCCTCCTTGCTCCCTCCCTTCCCTCCCCTCACCCTGACCATTTCCCCCCTGCTCGGGTCATGACCCAACTGTGCAGCGCCTTGGGACGTCCTCCTGACGTGAAAGGCGCTTTATAAATGGAATCCTGTTGTTGTTGTTGTTGTTAATTAATATGCCCTCTGAATACTAAATAAGATAATTATTCAGATGTTCACTAAATTCATTTTATAGCCCTTCATTGTAGAGAAAAGAAAATAACCTATTATTCTGCTTCTATAAATTTTGCGTTTTGTGGTTGAATACTATAAACAAGACAATTGTAATATTAGTAGGGCAAAGGTTTGAATTCATTTTTTATAGCATTTCTGTATTGTGAAAGCCTTTTACTGAAATGTATGAAACTAAACCAAGGATTTGGAATATTTAAGTTATGTGTTACATGTTGAGGAAAATTAAGTAAAACAATCACAGCATCAGTGCTAGTAAAAGGGGAATAGGAAGTAGGTTGCAGAATAGTAATATCTCACATCAAACCACTGCCATACAAACAGAAATCTTGTAAACCACAGCAGGACAGTCAAATATCTGACATTTGCAGGATTATGTATTTATATTACTGGCAGTTGTTAAGTTATGAATATTACCTTTCACAACACAAGTAAACACCAAAACACCACTGTTTGCTAAAATGGGCTGCATCCATGCCACCACAATTGTTGCAAATTTGTGAGGTACAAACAGATATTCATATTAAAATTATATTACATCTGTGTCTCATAGGAATATGTGAGTTTGGTTGAAACAGTATTTCAGAGAATGTATGCACAAGAATCACTTAACACATTTAACAAAATTTTATTGGAAAAGTATTAATGCTTACCTTCCAACACACACTGCGAAACCTGCTGCTTCTCAGTTGTCCATTAATCCCCTTCTGCTTTATTCTTGCATAGTAATTACCATGTCCAAACAAGTCTTCCCATTCTTTGCTAATAATTAAAAATAAAGAAATATTCAAGAGAAACCATTTGTTATTCAACAACTTGTATTTATAATAATAATCCTTGCAATTGACATAGCGCCTTATTGTGTCTTTCAGACGTCTCAAAGTGCTTCACAGAATGTACTGTGAAGTGTATATTTTGCAGGAGAAACATGGCAGCCAATTGTGTACAGCAGTGTCCCACAAACAGTGGTGGATTAAGTGACCACTTTTTTTAAGGGATTATTATCCCGGAAAAGCAATCTGCCAATCGACTAACAACAAGGTTCCTACTTACTGCTAGGTAAACAGAGGCGTGTGGAGCAAGGAAACTTGCCCAACGTTTCGCCTTGCCTGGGAATTGAACCCAGTTCCTCTTGCTTGGCAAGCTGTACAGAACTGTGTAAATCCGTCAGTGAATTTCAGTTAAGTAAAAGCCACTCAGGATTATAGAATGTTACATACAACACAGAAATATGCCATTCACCCTAGCAGGCCAGCACTGTTTTTCTTCCAAGTGAATCACCTATATTAATCCCTCTGCCTTGCTCATTCAACATAAATTATTATTATATACTGTAATATTTCCCTTTTTCAAGCAACCATCTATGATAATTCCCTTCTAAAATAACTGACGGACTCATAGTCAAAAATATTGCTAAATAGTAATCCAAATGAAATCGGTATTGTTTGACTTCAATTTATGCCATTTTAAAAATAAAAAATTTGGTCCAATAATTTCAAGCCAATAAAATGCAAACAGGCATCGTCATTTTCACTGAGCTGTTGGTGACACACATGGCACAATAAATTATAGAATCTGTGGAAACCCAAAGATAAACAACTTAAACATGCCTCCCAGGCTTAGATACACCAGGGAACAAAACCTGTGCCTCATTAATATACGAGTAAATGTACTCCCCAATGAGAACAAATGGAAATTAATTGTTCCAAACTATTTACACAGTGGACTGAATCTGTACTTACCATAAAGACCCTAGGATGCAGGATAAAGCATAGACACGTGCTGCACTGACTTATCACTGAAGACACACCACTGACTGATATTGGGCCAAGCAGGTAATTGGAGTTAAGGTACAGATATCAGCCATGATTTAATAGAATGGTGAAACATGCTCAGGGGCTGATTAGCCTATTCCTGTTATGTCTTCATGTCATAGGTCAACATAACCAGAAATGTCACGGACGGTTATTACTTTCTTCATTTTTGTGAGGAACCCATGCAATATTTATCTAAGCAGGGTGATAAACACCAAGTGCACAATCATCATATCAGAGAGGAAGATTACTAGGGTTGAGATGAAGTTAAGACACAGGTGTTCTGTGGATTTGTATTTTCTGAAGTACCGAAGTATAAATTCCTCTTCTAGTTAAGAGCAATTTAAAGGCTTTCTCGGGAGAACAAAAAAAAATTAGAACACATTGCGATTCTTAGTAATTCAGCCCAGTGGGAATGCCTGCAGGTACCTGGTACATGAGCTATTTAGAGGGCTAGGGGATTCCATAAGGACAGAGAAGTATTATAAGGAGTTACAATACAACAACAAGATTTCATTTATAGAGCGCCTTTCAGGTCGGGAGGACGGCCCAAGGCGCTGGACAGTTGGGTCAGGACCTGAGCAGGGAGGAAATGGTCAGGGTGAGGGGAGGGAAGGGAGGGAGCGAGGAGGGGGTAGAGAGTCGAGAGGGGAGCTGAAGGCACGGTCAAAGAGAAAGGTCTTGAGACCGGCCTTGAAGGAGGAAAGGGAGGAGGCGGCGAAGGCACTGGGGGATGGAGTTCCAGAGCCTCGGGGCTGAGAGGCTGAAGGCCCGCCACCGATGGTAGGGCGGTTGGGGCGGGGGACGTGGAGCAGACCGGAGCCAGAGGAATGGAGGGTACGGGCAGGTAAATAGGGGGATAGTAGGTCGGAGAGGTAGGAGGGAGCGAGGCCGTGAATGGCCTTGTAGGTCAGGATGAGGATCTTGAATTCAATCCTCTGGGGGATGGGGAGCCAGTGGAGGCGAGCGAGGGTGGGAGTGATGTGGTCGCGAAGCCTGGTGCGGGACAGTACATGAGCTGCAGAGTTCTGGAACTCCATCCCCCAGTGCCTTCGCCGCTTCCTCCCTTTCCTCCTTCAAGGCCGGTCTCAAGACCTTTCTCTTTGACCGTACCTTCAGCTCCCCTCTCGACTCTCTACCCCCTCCTCGCTCCCTCCCTTCCCTCCCCTCACCCTGACTGTTTCCCCCCATCTCGCTCCCTCCCTTCCCTCCCCTCACTCTGACCATTTTTCCCCCAAGGCTCGGGTCCTGACCCAACTGTACAGCACCTTGGGACGTCCTCCTGACGTGAAAGGCGCTCTATAAATGGAATCTTGTTGTTGTTGTTAGAATGCAAATCTCACTTGGCCAGAGACCATATTCAGATATGATAACCTTTTGACAGCTGATGTAGCCTTATTTTAAAACTGATATTTTTCAGATATTGAGCAAACATATTTAAAATGAAAGATGTCCTTTAAACGTAACTGCAGAGACAATTGGCTTCATTGTAAACTGCTTACCTCTTTATGTGTTCCATTTTTAAGTACTTATTATTTTCAAAGAAATCACTAGTTGAAGGGCTCTTCACGTAGAACTCAACAGACATTTTAATGAAGAGGATGCACTCAGGTTACAGAGGGAGCATATCTCCACAACAGACAGGACTGCAGCAAACCAGGCCAGAACAATCATTCACAGTTGTTTTATTTTTAGTTCTGAGCCGAGCCGAAAAAGAAAACAATTTATTTCTTGTGGCTTCTTTTATTTTCAGAGAAATCTATAGTTGAGGGGTTTCTCTACAAATGTCAATTATTCCCATACCAAAAGCTAGAAATAGCCAAACTCTCTTGAATTCCTCCAACCGATATAGTGACAGCATATCAGCTTCACTGAAACATGTCTTCTTAGCTCCACAAACATCCAGGAGAGAATAAAAAGAGCTCGGTAAATGTATTCAACAGCAGAGAATCATCTCTCTGGAGCTCTGCAGTGAGTATTATGGCTTGGCTTCTTACGTGAGCAGTGTTTAGAGACTGCTGCCTTGTCCGTGTGACAATATCCTGTCAAATTTTAAATATTTTGTCCTTGTAGTTAATGAGTGAGAAACTATGAGTGAAATAAATGAAGGTCAGCATTTGACCTGTCGCATTTCCCTGTTCCATTTCAGGATATGCATCATTTAACAATAATACTGATCTGGTATGTTGATCTGTTCCTGAATAGGTAGTATAATTTCTTTATTTCTCTAATATTGTACTAAAATATCAAAAATGAGCACAAATGTTATGATGAAATAAAACTTTTGGTAAATAGATCACTGAAATAAAACCAAAAATTGATTGAAAAAGTGCACAAATGGGATACTACAGAATAAACACCACCTCAGTAAAATAGTGTTTGCCTAGTAATAGAGTTCTTGCAGATTAACTAAATAAAAAATGGCAATGTCCCACAAACAGTCACAAAGTGAACAATTTTATTTGGGGGGACTGTTGGCAGGACACAGGGAGAACCCCCCCCCCATCACAGTGTATCCTGTAAAGTACTTTGAGACAGCCTTGTGACACAGTAGGCACTATATTAAATGCAATGATTATTATTTTATTTATATTTAATTCAGAAGACTACAGAGTTAACGTAAAAAATCACATTTTACAAGAACAAACCTATTTTAATTTTGTTAAAAAGATACTGCATGATTCAGTCTGAATTTGAATAGAAATCATACAACTTACTTGAAACAAGTTAAATAAATTTCCCTTTGTCTTTGTGACAATGGTGGTGGTATATACGTAATGTACCATCTATTCTATTGACAGGCTTTGATAATTTTAAATTACATTCCTTAAATAAACTTTGAAACAAACCAAAAGATCAATATCATATACTAATTCAATAATTTAGGATGAAGATATCATGTATAATATTGAATTACTGTATATGATTAAGATTGAAATAATACCAATTAATCCTTGGCCTTATCTGGTGTGTTTCTTACAGAATACTAAATATTCCAAATTAATTATATAATTTCATTAGTTTGCTTAGATTGCCTAGTGTAATAAAGGTTTTATTACTAATGGCTGCTTTCCATTTATCAATGTTGTAGTCTTCTCGAATCTAACCCAGTCTATGTCTTCTGCTTAAAGAGAGCCTGAGATACACGTCAATGTCATATATGCCTGAGAAAATATTTTACAAATCGTGTGAAAACAACACTCTGATTGAAGATGCCACTTTCAATTTCGCGGGACTTAAAAAAAAGCCCCTTTTTNAAAAAAATGCAATATCGGTTTGCAAATTTTAAAAAGTAACATAAATAACTAGTTTTGTGGTATAGCATCAAGATGTTCAGTTTTTAGCTAATGCTATAACCATAACATGCAGTTATTTGAGGAGTCCTGTAGCTTTGTGGTTAGAGCACTCGCCTCGCAAGCGAGAGGACCTGGGTTCAATTCCCGGGCAGGGCAAAACGTTGGGCAATTTCCTTACTCCACACGTCTCTGTTTACCTAGCAGCAAGTAGGAACCCAGTTGTTAGTCAATTGGTGGATCGCTTTTCTGGGGGTAATAATCTCTTCATAAAAATAATAATAATAATTTGGTCATTCAATCCACGACTGTTTGAGGGACACTGCTGTGGGCAATTGGCTGCCGCATTTCACACACAAAATATACAGTCAATTCACTTTAGAGTGTTTTCTGCGAAGCGCTTTGAGATGCCCTAAAGATGTGATAATGCACTATATCAAATGCAAGGATTATTATTATTTTATTTGTTGCAAAGTTCCAGATCGATTCAGATGGGAGCACATCTTTTGTACTTGTGCTATTGATAAGATAAAAGCTTTAAATTATTAACAGAGGCAATAATCAAAAGAGCCTTCATGGTTTCCGAATTTCAATAACGTGATTACTTCTGAAAGTTTTGCTGGAAATTATGCTGGAAAACATAACTTGTTGTTTA